CGATGAGCTTTGTAAAAATCGACGCGTTTCAGAAAGGCGGGGCATAGAGGAGAAACAATAATGTACATTATGTGGAAAATAATGTGTTTTTTTAACCTTAAACCGCATAAACACATTGCATTACACCAAATACACAAAATACTGTTCTTTTTAGCAACATCATATGACCCCTTTAAAAGTGGGTGGGTCTTCTCTCCCACACACAAAGTTTCTGATGCCCATGTACAGTTTTGTAATCTAATATCCATATTGTTTATTTAGCTTAAGAGTAGATTGCAGTGACTATCAACATTATTGAGACTATATATATATCATGGTCATATATATCATACCGTATATATGACCTTGGGTTTCAGTAAAGTTTCAGAAATTAATTTAGTCATAATTTCATAATTGCTTAAATAATAAGGGTAACACTTCAGCTTAGGGACTCACTATTAACTAGTTGCTTATTAGTATGCATATTACTAGCATATTGGCTGTTTGCTAACAAAGCACATATTAATGCCTCATTCTGCATGACCATATTTTAGATCCCTTACTCCTACCCCATACTTATCAACTACCTTACTAACTATTAATAAGGAGATTATTAAGAAGTCATAGTTAATAGTTAATAGTGAAAACTGGTCCCCAAACTAAAGTGTGACCATAATGGTAAAGATACTACGATAAATTCAATTAATCACCACTTAAACAAAATATTTTTGAAAATGGAAAAAAAGGTAATTTTTAGCACTCACTTGAAGTAATTATTTAAACACACTAATAATTTTCTGTTATTAAGCACTGTTAAATGTTCTTCAATTCTAGCATATCTCAAAATTAATATCTATTCATATCCATTCATACACTATAATAGTGTGATGCTTGAATTCCGGTGTAGCATTTGAAATGATTGCCTTTTGTCATTTAGACAAAAAAAAAAGTATTGGATTTTAATATTAGCCATTTATCAGTTGTCGTCATGAAAATAATATTGTCTTATCGGTATTAGCCAGAATTTTAATATTGGTGCACCCCTAATATTCTTAAAGGCGAAAATGTCTCCCTCTCTCATAATAAACACAGATCTTCCTGTAGTGCAGATTTGTCCATCCTGTTTGCATCTACTTTATTCCTCATTCTATTTTTCCTCAGGTCTGCTTTTATTGCTTTTCAGTCTTGAGAGTCCTCATTCGTTACTGCAGAGACTCAACGGCTCAAGGACACTGTCGCTATAACATGCAGCGTGATTCAGAGCACCATGTGTCTATTGATTGACTGAATGCAGCAAAGCCTCCTGGGAGGCAGAAAGGGGTGGTTATGAGTGTTACAATAAATACTGACAAACAACAAATCTAATACAGCAAACAAGGTGCCCGTCTGCAACTGGCGATGACTTCTTGTCACGCTGTATGTTAAGTGTGTGGGGGGGGGGCTCATGCTGTGGGTTGGCACAGACGATTCCTAATAAATATGCACTTCAAGGTGAGAGAGGGAGAGAGGCAGGGGTGGGCGCAAAGACATCTGCTGGCATAAATAACAGATAAATGAGTCAGCTGAAAGATTAGACATGGATTCTTGATTCTAGGGCATTCTAGGACTTTGAAACTTGCATAGAAATGCAAGATTTTTGGTTTGTTAATGTGAGGGTCACTGTCTCCGCTAGATGCCTGAGAGTTTATCTTATACTCAGACCTTCATAAAGCATATAGCATTGTCATGAGACTAATGCTGGTGAAATATCATGATTCTCAGTGACAAGTCCAATACCACAGCTAAAACTAATATGATTTTTTTTTTATTATTTGGTAACACTTTATTTTAAGGTGTCCTTAAACACATGTACTTACAATAACAATATATTATGCATAATTACACGCAATTACACGTAACCCATATAGTAAGTACATGTAGTTAGTTAATATTACTCAGTATTTAAAAATGTTTAATTACACTGTAACAAGGACACCTTAAAATAAAGTGTAACCAATTATTTTATAAGTTGAATATTAATATACAACTTTAATAAATTAAATTAAAATGGAGATGTTGAAATCAAGCATTTCATAACTGAACAATCAATCATTCAATCAAACATTTCAAGTTAACAAGTAAATTATTGAAGTAAATATTCAGTAATAAAATGAAGAACAAAGATACTAATTACAGAAGAAAAAAATAGCCTAAAATTTGTTTTTATTAAATGACTGGGTATTATGTCAGGCATTATTGTCTCATTGGTATTGACTATTTAAAATGCATGTCTTGATGGGCAATCTCAGGGTGTGTAAAAGACCTCTAATCATGTCAAGGTGTTATTTCAAAGATATGAAAATATCTGCAGAATCATTCATAATGTAATCATGTTGAAACAACTTTCCTTTTCACCTGACGTCACCAAGCATTTTTCAGCTCTCTTAAAAGTGCCTGTTGTACAGAGATCATGACCTCTGATCCCACTGTATTATGAAAAGCTCATTTTTAATGATCCATTCAATTCCTGGTGCATAAAATCAAGTCCCGCCCTGTAGTTTTTGTTTTTTTTCTCATTGAATATCCCGTTTCATTCAGAAATGCATCATAAAATTAGTTGCAAATTCTGTTTTTGATTGTTAACTAAAACTGCAATTATTCAAATTAAATGTATATGCTAAAATATTCTAGTTGCAATAAACTTGAAATAACAGAAATAGTACATGAAAAACCTAAAAAGGTAAAGCTATATAGAAAAATATTTAAGCTATATAGAAATATATAACAATAAAAGCTCATTCAAAATTGTGTGTGTGTGTGTGTGTGTGTGTGTGCGCACGTGCGTTTTTGTGACATATGAGGACACAAATTTGTATAATGACATGGGTATGACATAGGTATTACAAGGCGAAGATGATTTATGAGGACATTACCCCATGTCCCCATTTTTCAAAACGCTTATAAATCATACAGAGTGAGTTTTTTGAGAAAGTAAAAATGCACAAAGTTTCCTGTAAGGGGTAGGGTTAGGTGTAGGGTTGGTGTAGGGCAATAGCACATACAGTATGCACAGTATAAAAACCATTACGCCTATAGAAATGTCCCCACAATTCACAAAAATTGTGTGTGTGTGTGTGAATGAACAGACTTGAAGCAACAACACATCAGCAAGCACATTCTTGTCATAATGGGTTTACAAATGCAAATTATAGTAAACAACACATTAATGATCATTGCCACCAGAATAGCTGTTTAACCACACTCAGTGTCTCTTTTTTTTATTCTCTCTCTTGCTCAGGATGTGTTATAGTGCTCATGGTGCATACGCCCAGAGTAAACTGGCCCTGCTGCTGTTCTCCTACCACCTGCAGGACCAGTTGTGGGTCAGAGGTGACCCTGTAACAGTTAACGCCGTGGACCCAGGCATGGTGGACACAGCCCTGTATGACAATCTGTCTAGCCCGGCCCAGCTGGCCAAGAAACCTTTCGCAAAACTGCTCTTCAGGGTAAGGCAAATCATACTGCCCTCTATAAAACATCATTAGTCAAGTTTACTGGAGGATAATAATTGCCTGGACGTATTTGGAATGCCTTATTTCACTTAAATAACTTGCCAAACTTTGGAAAGTCAGCCAAACTAGGCCTGAGTCACTGGCGTGATGGTTTATTCAGACATCTGTCTGTGCTTGGAAGATAATTCTTGAGGTGTAGAGCTTCAGTTTCACTCTTGTTTGGTAATTTTTTGGCTTTTTTGCCGCTTTTATTGAGAGGACAGAGAGAGGACAGGAAATGAGGTGGAATTGGACTAGACTAGACACTATAGAGTGAATGTACCGCTTTTAAGTGGTTGTAAACAAAAATGCTAATTTTCAATAACAATAGGACAATGGTTATTTTCATATTATAGACGATAACAGTTAAATGAAAAATATTTAAAAACTGTACTATTTATGATAAATAAATTAAGGAATGAATTTGATGGATGGATGAATAAATAAGTAAGTAAATAGAAAATATAGTAATTAATTAATTTTGTGAGGCTTGCATGATAATGCAAAATATAAACTATAGGTAACTATTATTTAGACATTAGTAGTTGAGAAAGCTTACTTTAAGGTCCAATTCTCGCTACTAACAAACTATTAACTGCGACTTTTGCCTCAATAAACAACTAATTTGCTGCTTATTAATAGTTAGTCAGGTAGTTAATAGGGTAGTTGTTAAGTTTAGGTATTGGGTAGGATTAGAGATGCAGAATATGGTCATGCAGAATGTGTAATAATGAATAATGTGCTTCGTAAGTACTAATAAACACCCAAGATGTTAATAAAAGGGTTGCTAATAAGCAACTAGTTAATAGTGAGAATTGGTCACTATACTGAAGTGTTACAGAAAGTTTTATCTGAAATAAAATAAGTTTAAGATTTTTATATTGTATATGTATTTTTATATTTGTATTTAATTTTTTTTTAATAACCCTTGTTGGGACCCCTACTATTTAAAATCTCTCTTAAATTTTTGTCACCTTTTTTTAGTTAAATTTTTAATAAAAAAATAACTAATATCCCTGATAACTGTCATTACTTATCAGTCTGTGATAGGGTTCAAGAGGGAGGAAGGAAGAAGACAGGGTCGGCGGACTGGGATGCGAGTTTTTATTAAAAGTCTCTCAGTAAGTACAACAGAACAAGGCGCTCGCGGAGCATTCAAAACTCTCCGTCAATAACTCAGAATATAGCTATATATATGCTTTTCTCCAGTAGCCCGGTTTCCCGTGTTGCTCGCGTTCCCAGCCAGTCTCTCTCTGCCTTCCATGCTCCAGGTGGCCCCTTTTATCTGGTCTCTCCACACCAGTTACTGAAACTAGACACAGGTGATTTTCATTTGCGCTTGACCTACTTATGCACCGCTTGTCTCCTGCCTCTCGAACCGCCGCTCCTGGTCGTCCCTCAAGCCCAGCAGCGCCTGATGGTGCTCCTGGTGAAGACCCGCGAGCGATTGGATGACCTCCGCAAATGGCGATCCTGACGGGGACTGCATGCCGGCGTCGGCGTTCTTCTTCCTTCCCGGGTTTCGGCACCAGTGTGATAGGGTTCAAGAGGGAGGAAGGAAGAAGACAGGGTCGGCGGACTGGGACGCGAGTTTTTATTAAAGTCTCTCAGTAAGTACAACAGAACAAGGCGCTCGCGGCGCATTCAAAACTCTCCGTCAATAACTCAGAATATAGCTATATATATGCTTTTCTCCAGTAGCCCGGTTTCCCGTGTTGCTCGCGTTCCCAGCCAGTCTCTCTCTGCCTTCCATGCTCCAGGTGGCCCCTTTTATCCGGTCTCTCCACACCAATTACTGAAACGAGACACAGGTGATTATCATTTGCGCTTGACCTACTTACGCACCGCTTGTCTCCTGCCTCTCTCTCCCGGTGCAGACCTCTCTGAACCACGCCCCCCTCGCCACACAGTCCAATATAGAATTCCCAGCTTTCATATCTAAAACGCAATAAATTGAGCAAATTCATGAATATTCTCCCTCAGATACAGGCTCGTAACCAGCTATGAGGCCACCGAGGTCCGGACCTCTGTAAACTTTTCATGTTCAAAAATAAAATGTGTTGTTTAAATGACTAATTTGCTGTTAAACTCCTCATATGAATGCCTGCATCACATGTATAATTCAGTTTAGACCGTTTGCAAGAATGTTTAGTGTCCCTGTTATGAAAATGATCGCTGCAAGATGCTGGCGGAGTGAACGAGGCTTCAGAGAGTTGTGAGTGAGGGCGCGGGCGCAGCCTCCGTGTTGCCAGATCCAGCTGTTATAAGCGTTTTTGGACTTGTCTATTCCACTTAATTTAACACTTTAGAAAGTTAATAAAGTAGGAAGTTGCAGTTTAGAGTCAGCGATATCTTTATATTATCTTATTTGCAAAAGATTGGAAGGTTTTTAGGTTTGGAAGGAAGATTTAGGTTTATTTTTTATTTATTTTTAGTTTTTTGTTTGTTTTAGTATCAATATCTGGCAACACTGCTTTGCCGGGACTTAAACTGAAATCAATCAAAAAAGCCCATGGACAGGTTTTTGCTGACAGGATACGACATTTGGTAAGGGAAACGCAAAAATTATCATGATATTATCTGTCATAAACGTTATCAACGCTGTCAAAAACAGTAGCATTTAACACTAGTACACACAGATCTGTAGAACAAGTACACTGTAAATAGGTTGCTGTAAATTTTACAGTAACTTACTGGCAGCTGGATGCCAGTAATTTACTGTAAAAATGTTTACAGTATTATTACTGTAATTGCATTTACAGTACAATAATGTCTTTACTTCACTTCCACCAAACAGTCAAAAAAAAAAATCCCTTGCCATTGGTCAGTTTTTCGCGGGCAAGTTCACTACTGTAATAGGTTACAGAATGAAATGAAATATGCAAAAACTAGCCATGAAGAAGTCTATGCCATGTCATTAAGTATAGTTAAATTTTCACAAATCATGCTATACACTTTCATAAGAACACTAGACAAAGTTATTGTAATTATGTGTTGTTGCAATAAACAACTGATAAAATTGTCCACCCCTAAA